GAGGGGGTGCTGAGGGAGGCAAGGAGAGAAGAGAGACTCCAAGGACTCACAGCTAGCAACAGGCAGGCTGGCATCCACCTCAGCGTGATGGGAAAGCTAAGGAGCAGGCAGGTGGGGGTGGTGGAGAAGTTTTCTATTTATTGTCAACCTTGAGATCTCGGGACCACCAGGTACAATGTTAGATGTGTGGATGTGAAACCAAGGATGTGGCTGATTTTTCTATGAATCTCGGACACAATTAACCATCTTCTACACTGAAACTTTATAATCATATTTTTAAAGCTTTTAGATAACTTTGTGAATCAGCGCGCAAATATTTCGATCCTAGGCAGCTAAGTGAACTACGCGTCCATAGCAAGGATACAGCATTTTCTTCTTGAAAGGCAACAAACAAACCGGAGTGTGGATTCTGTCTGATACTTGTATGACAGTGATCAGAAAAAGGAATGGGACAAAGGATGTCACGTGTCTTTGTCAAGGACAAAGGGCGCTTAGAGGCACGGGCTCCGGCTCGTGCTGCCGCTTCGCTTCGTGGAAACTCGGGCTGCACCGGAGCCCGCATCACCCGTCCCCCTGGCTGCTCTTCTTGGTCAAGCCTTTCATTCTTGATGTCCGAAACCCTTGGCATTTCGAAATTGTTCTCTGTGCTGTCATGAACAATAGCTTCTCCTCGATGCTCTGGAAGAACACCACACCTTCTCTTCTCTCCTGGTACTTGAGAAGCTGCGGCCCTAAGGTTGCCTGGAGAAGCAGTGGCCAGGACTCCGGGCGCCCCAGGCCGCGCGCAGGGAGCGCTCCGGGCCGGGCCGCGCTGTGCTGCGCCCCTAGCTCGCCTGCCGCACAGGCTTCCCGTAGGTCCTCCTGGCTCGCCTGCTCGCTCGCTCGGTAACCTTGCGCCCCGCGACGGGCAAATGCCCAACGCTCAGAACACACAAATTCACGTTTATGAACTCAGTATTCCTACTTACTTAAATCTGGCTGGGTTTTGTTTTTTTTTTTTTTTCGCTTAACATTTTGACCTAGAATTATTTTTAATAAAATGTATTTAAATCATTGAGGGACTTTTTGGTAATTCAAATTTCTGAATTCAATCTCTTATCAAATCCTAACAGTTCTGTGGTATGGGACGCTGAAAATCTTAGCGCTTTCCGTTGATGCCAATTCTATGCATATTCAACCTAAAAGTTAAATCCCTCACTTAAAATGTCTTTTGAAAGTTTGTCTAGAAGTTACAGAGTACTAAATGCCACTTTGATGAAACAAATTCTGTAGCTTCCACTTATGCCCAAAAAATATAGATATAGGAAAAATTTTAAATAACCAATAATTTCTTTTAAATTAAAATTACTGTCAATTTTACATTGTGTATTACAAATCTCCAGTCTACAGATGTAACAAATGAGGCACCTCCAAATTCAATGTCCACTACACGTAAAATAAGAGATCCGAGATCTCTTTTCCCAAGATCCGAAGAGATCGAGCGCATTCAGGGTGGTATGGCCGTAGACCACAAGTGCTTTTTAAAAGTAAACTTACTTAGAAATTTTAGATTAAAATACCCTACTGGAAGGGTATTTAAAATACCCTACCCTCAGGCACACAACAGTGTAGGCACACATAAATATCAACAACAGCTAGATCAAATCATGACCACGGTCTTCAAAGACCTGTATAATTTTCTCTTAGGTAACTTTTAAAACAAAAATTATGTGGATTTTGAGGTTTTAGTTAGCTAAGTAAAAAGCAGGATTAGAAATAAGACACTGCTTTAAGCTGTGCGATATATACACCAACCATTATCGCTATTTTTCAAATATTTGGGGATTGGTTCATACTTAGGTTTGTCAAAATTTAAATTTGATTTTTATCTAGGTCTATTTAATTTACCAAAAGAATGACTTCAATAGAATCAATGTGCTTATGTCATTGAAAACAGAAATACTTTGTTGGGGATTGATGCTATGTCAAATGCTAACAAAATACCTTCTAAACTGATTAAAAAATCTTCCAGTATGTACTAAAAAAGTACATTGTTATATCCACAGCTTGACTTCTAAATATTTTATTTTAGTAGTATTTGTACTCCATCATTTTTGAATAGAAGGTCTAATTACAGTGTTTCAATACATAGAATTGCTATTTGATGTTTTTTCCCACAGCCCAAGGGAATTCAGTCCCTCACTTTCCAAACAATAGACTTCATAATGTTTTTATGTGTGGGGCTGGCCTCCAGATGCTTGCAAAGTTTTCAGTTTGTGAAAAACTATTCTGTAAACTTCTTAGGCTGTGGTCGCATCAGGACAAAGCCAAGGGTCTTCCGTGTTCCCACTCACCTGCCCCTGTCAAGTAATAAGTGTCCAATAGTCCCAGCAGCACATGAGAAGAAAGTTGCTTTTTAACTAATATAAAATAAAAGAAAACATCTTTCTCACTACTAAAATACGCGCTCTGAACACTTACCCAATTTTCTTGTGTTCCCATATGCCTGTAAGCAGGCACTTGCTCCTCCATGCAATGGCCTCGCATATTTAAAATACACTGCTCTGTTCTCTGCCGTTTATCCACACAGCAGGTCTGAAATGGAGTATACATTCATGGGCTTAGCAACATCGGATGTGTAAACACCACCGCTAAATCTCAGACACTGTACCAGAGCACTTCTCATTTTATTTCGTGGTGAAATCTTTCTGGACTATTGCCATGGCTGATAGCAACTCTTCAATGAATCATTAATAAACATATGCACAAAAAAGAAAGAGACATTGTTAACCAACCAGAGAAGATAGACTTTAAATAAAACAACACAAAGATGTGCAGCTGCTCCACAGATTTTCTTGCTACAAGTTCTTCAAAGGATCACAGGCCTTCCATAAACTTCAGGCTGTTTGCCGAAGCAGCCGTGGCCTCCTTGTAAGACCTGCTGGCTAGGCTCCAAAGGCGTCTTTTCATGATAAGTCATAAACATGCTGCCCAAGCTCTACAGCGGCGCTCTCCTTCTCCTTGATACAATAGAGAGAACTCTGTTTGCTCAGGAATACGACAGCAACAACAAATGTTTTAACAGCGTGACCAAGTTAACACTATGAAGAAGTCTATTTGCTTGACTTTTCCATTTATGAATGTATGAATTTTAATACTGTAAACAAGCATTTTATATGAAAAGACAGAGTATCTCTGCCTACACTTATGACGCTATTAGTGAAATAAAGTTATGCATGCCCATTTCAGAAATTTGCTGGAAAACTCCATTTGATCTGGTACATTAGCATAGTGCTAGCTTTGGAAGTAGCACAGATTAAAGTTACTGTATCAGATTTAGATACCAGACTTCATACTGTAAGAGAAGGCTCAGAGCAAAGCCCAAGTGCCCTCTTCACATGGTGGCTGTCTGACCCTTACACGACAGGTGCATATAGTTTTCAGAAGACAGCACAGATAAACCTATGTGCTAGCATCACCGCCTCATTCCACTGGCGAAGAGGCACTTCTTCATATTTCTTAGCATTTTCATGATAATCTCTTTCTTCATATTTCTTAGCATTTTCATGATAATCTCTTTCTTTTTAAATAGTCTTCAAAAATCTGTGCAAATAACACTGATAACATCATGGGGGGATTTATTTTGAAACCAGAAGCAGCTGCCTTAAAACAACTGAAAGAAAGAAATGAGAAGCAGAAGCTGGTGTGGGCAGAGTGAGCGAGGCGAACAGAGACTCACTGTGGAGCTCAGTGGCACGGCACTTCCCCGGCGTGCGCAAGGCGTTGGGTTTGACCCCCAGGACAGAGAAAAGAAGAAAGGACTAAATGAACTAATGGACTATTCTAAATCAATGTGGTAACTCTTTGCACAAAGTTCAAGTAACAGCACAACTGAAAAAGCAATGTAGTTTGCAAAATAAAGAGGCAAAGTCACTAGACATGCCCTGGGTGTGTGGAGGGGCAGAACTGTGTTAAGCTAAAGGGGAAGATGTAGCCCAGATGTTCATTTACGAGGTTATTCGTTGGCAGAGGGGAAAGCACGTGAGCAGCGCTGGCTGGTGCCCGGAGCTGCATCATAAAGCTGCACGAGTGTCCCCTTGTCAAAGCAGCTGCAAACGCACTGCTGGAAGAGAAGCAGACGTACAGCCTGAACCAGAGAGAAATTTCAAAGTTGTCACTGTAATTTTTCACTCATTTTAAAATATTTTATGCAATCTAGCCAAGTCTCAACTGCTCATTTGAAAAAGAGCAGACACGTAGCAATGCCAAGGCAAAATCTGCAAATGTGAGTTAGAGAGACAGCGTAAACGACGCTAGTTATTTTTGTGTGACACTCACTTGTGACAGAGGGAAGGAAGTCTGTGCTGGGTGACATCTGAAGCTGGGAGGTTTCTGAACACTGGCAACAGGAGATGCACACAAGAGAAACTCACATGCATGAACAAGTGATTGCCCTTCTGTCCTTAAATTATTCCTATTTTATTCCAAAGGATCATACTGCTCGCCACACAGTCATATAGAGTAAAAAGCCCCGGGCTGCGTATGCATGCTGGCTAGTCACAAACGCTCGGCCTCTCAATGACTAGTTGTTACAAGAGCTGCTACACCTTTCAGCTCCACATGTTTTCCAAGCTCTGTAGCAACGATGACAGCAGAGTGACTGCTCTTTGTCCTTGGTTGGGAGTTGCCATTCTTAAAGTAGCTTTTATGTCTATTGATTTGTAGATTTGGGCTGGCCAGAGAGCTGAGTGGACTAAAGCAGGGACCAGGATTCGATCCCCAATCCTCAGTGTGCTGTGCTGGCCCTACCCCCAGGGTACACTGAGACAGCAACTGAGACTGGGCATGATAGTGCGCGCCTGTAATCCCAGTGCTTGGGAGGCTGAAAATAGGAGGATCGCCATGAGTCCAATCTATGTAGTGAGACCCAGCAGACCCTGTACTAAATACATAAAAAAAAAACTGATTTGTGCATTTAGCAAACCTATTTCCTTGAAACACTGATTTGATTTGAACATTTTTGGCTATAGATTTATAATCAGAATTTTTGAAGTTCTCATTGAAAAGTATGCAAAGCCTTCTTCATGATTTTTACTTTCTTTAATTTTGGACGGGTGGAGGGTTCAAAGAATTCTTGTAGATTTTTTCCCCAAAGAATATGTTCATGGTAAATTCTCAATCTCAAAATCCTTATGTTGAAAAAGTGATTAAAATTTTGCTTTCTCATACCAGGGTTTAAAATTTAAAATCAGATTTAAAACTTGCTGTACTTGTAGAATTTTATGGGACTAAACTTTAAACAATGTGCAGATTTCATGTCTTTTAACAGCTCTTCTCTTTTAGGGGACCCCCCCCCCTGCAATGCTCCCAAGATGCTTCCAGAAGGAATGCATTCTTTCAATCTTTTCTAAAAAGAAAATGTGAAATACAGGAACACTAGAATTGAATTGGAGAAAAACTATTTTGTTGTCACCTGATACCTACTGAGACCTGTAGCTTCTTTTAAAGAAAAATGTAATTCACTAAAGTGGCACAGATTCAAGAGACTATGATGAAGTGTGCTGGAATTCCCTTATAAAGGTACACTAAAGTCTGTTTCATTGTTTCTTGTTTCCATTAACTTCAGTGGTGTTCCTAAATTAGTATCCCATGTAATTATCTGTCACATCTCTAAATCCTTTAATATGTGTGTTTTTTTATAAGCCTGTTACATCAGGGACTTATTAGAGTTCAGTAAAAATATATAGCTTGTGTGTGTGTGAATATGTGTATTTTCAGCAAGTGCACAAGAACTAGAAATTAGCCCCTTATTTGTGAGTGGCACATTTTATGTTCAGAATTGGCTGCCAAAACATAGCTCACACATTTGGTCTCATTTCCTTGGTCACACAGCTTGGGAAGGAAATACTCTTTAAGTAAGTCAGACAGGGTACACAGAGGTGGCGAAGACAGCGGTTTGGGAAGAATCCACTCAGAGCATTCCGAAGCTTACAGGGGAAACATTTGTGCAGAGGACTCCGGGAGTAGAAGAGCAGCGAGCAGCTCTGTGCGTCCTCCACCTGCCACTCAGTACAGAGCTGCGCGAGTCCTGGGATGCCTCTTCTCTGAAATGAAAGTCCCTACATCAGATCGCATCGGTCACTTCCTCATTTCCTAGAACAATTCTCTTCCCTGTGTCCATGAAGTAGCAGAGGAAAATAATGGCACAATTCACCATGATAGCAGAAATATGGCTTCATAGGAAACGGGGCTACATTTAATCAGTGTTGACAGCTTATGCAGATTTTCTGGTTTTTCTTAGAGTTCATATCACTGGCTCAAACTTTTATTTCAATCTTTCCCAAATTCAGTTACTACCAAAATTTACAAACTAGACATGAAATTACATCATATTTACAAAGAACTTGGCACTTACAGAATAAATTATTGACTTTTTCTTTTAAATCAGCCCAGGGCACCCAAGGTTCAGGCAGACAGGAAAACCAGGCACCTTATTATATTTTCTGCTACATTAATAGGAATAAATATGTTTCCAGCTCATCCTGGCTCCTCTGCAGTGCTGTCCCTCCGCAGCTCCGTCCAGCGCCTTCCACGTCTACTCCGTGCCCGGGTGCACAGACGTCATCAGTCCAGAGAGAGCAGAGGCTGCATGTTCTCTTCCTCATTCTTGTCCATGCGCTTCAGGACTGTGGGGTCCACCACAGACTGGGACCTGGAAGGCAGAAGCAGAGTCAGCCGGGTCGCCCGGCGATGACGACATTGCCTCTGCTTCTCTCTGGCGCACTCTGTGTGGGTAGGAACATCATCAAGGGGTTGTGGGCTGTGGCTGCAGCACACTCAGACATGCAGGCCTGCCTCCGCCTCTGAATGAACAGACGCACCCCTGGACTCTTGGTAGCAGAGCAAAGGATTCCGGGCAGACAATAATGCACACAAACTCTCACTACCACAACTACATGAGTCTTTCCTTTGAGATATGCAGAATTTCTATGTAGAGTGGATGCTTTCCAGTACAATATCCCTAAGCAGAAAAAAAGGGCTACCGTGAAAGGATGGCTGTATGCTAAGTGAAATGATAGGCATTTAAGTTGTTATACTGCTATATATTGAATAGAAATGAGGCTTGCCTTTTAAACATCATTGAAAAACATTTTCAATGAGAATGTGCCTTTTTCAGTAACCATTTTAATGATAACATGAAAAAAAATTCATTTGTGTTGTTCAGTTGTTTGCTTGGCTTGCTTTTGTGGGACAGAGTCCTGCTACTTAGGTCAGACCGTCTTAGAACTGTGTACCCTAGGTTGGCCTCAAACTCAGTGATCCTCCTGCCTCAGCCTCTTGAGTGCTGGGATTATAAGCATCATGTTCAGCTTTTAAAATATCATAATTTGGACACAACTTTTGCTAAATTTCCCACTAGAACAGGCAAATCAAGTCAGCCTTACTCTTGAAAGTTTCAAGAAAGGGTTAAGCACTTCTCTAAGAAGTTAAAACTTGTGTTTAGGCAAAAACACTCTATAATTAGGACAACACATAATTTGAAAATCGCTTTACATTCTCTAAGAGCAGGTGGGAATTCCACCCCATTCTTAGTAAGGAATCCACAGGGGGCGGGAAGGAGGCAGGAAGCTGCAGTCCTGACAGCAGGGAGGGCACCCAGGAAAAAGCTGCCCTGTAAAATCCTCCGGGGAGTGAGTCCTCCCCCACACTGATCCCCCCACTGGCATGGGCGTGGGAGGTGCCGCTCCGCAGCCCTCATCAGCTTTCTGGCAAAAGCAGCAGGCTGCTACTGCTGCATGTGCTGGTGGAAAGTGGCAGGCGTGGTCGCCACCATGAAAGCCAGCAGTCTCAGTGGACTGGCAACGGCTCCTTCATTTAAATTAACTTTGTTCTGCACCAGCCCCACCCCCAGGTGGGCACACTGAGCCCGCCACTGAGTCTGGGAGTCGTGGCGCAGGCCTGTAATCCCAGCACTGGGGAGGCTGCAGCAGGATCAGCATGATTCTGAGCTGCAGAGTGAGACCCTGGACCAAATACATTAAATAATAATAATAATAATAATAATAATAAAATTATTGTTTCCATTGAGCAAGTGTGGTAAAATGAAGGTGAGAATGTTAAAAAAAAAAAAAAGCAGAGGCTTTGTTTTCTGGGTAACTTTCATCATTTTATCTGAATATCAAGTAGGCTCTCGACACTATCTCAGAAAGGGACTGACTGTGGCTTGTGTCCACACCCCCGTGTGCTCAGAGGGGCAGAGAATGAGAGAAGGAGCAGGAGAAACAGAAGCCTGCGATGGTAGGCAGAGGGAGACTCCACATGATGAGCCCTTTCCATGCTGAGGAAGCTCAGGACAGTGCTGAGCATGCAGTATGTCCAGGAACGCAGATACGGAGAAGAGGCGTCTTAGCTGGACCCTGGTGAGCCGGGCCTCACACAGTGCGTGTCTGCCCCTTAACTGCTGAGGCGTGTGAGCATCACAGTCAGTAAGTGAACGTGGAAGCTCTTTGCCCATACCAGGGGCGGGATTTACAATTGTGTTTGCATTCTGCTGAAACACACACACACACAAACATGCAACATACACATGCACGCACACACAAATGCACATATGCACGCACACACATGTGCACATGCATGCATGCCCCCCCACACGCACACAGGTACACATGCACTCACATGCGGTCATGTGTGCACATACACACACAACAATGCATGCACACACACATTCTTAAGTTTTATGTACCATGATTATTAAAAATGTATTAGAAAGCATGTGGCAATTTCATATTTTTTTATGTATTTAGTACAGGGTCTACAGGTTCTCACTACACAGAACAGACTTATAGTGATCCTCCTGTTTTCAGCCTCCCAAGCTCTGGGATTAAGGTGCGCACCACCACGCCCAGTCTCAAATTTGTTTATTTATTTTTATGTATTTAGCATGTGGCAGTCCTAGCAAAGCATTTACCTTGCCTTGCACTCCTGCCCAAGTCAGGCTTCAGTCCCAGCTGGCTCCTGTCTGGAGCCACAGAGGACAGCGCTGTCTGCTGAGCGCTGCTCCCACATGCAGAACACTCCTGCAAAAAGCTGTGCGGAAGCCTTCTGTGGGTCGGATGTCTTCGGTGTTTCATTGCCCGAGTGTCCTGTCATTTACTCCTCTCTAGAAAGGACAGGGAGCTGTGTGGGCTCTGACCCGTGAGGATCTGCGCTGGGGCAGCTTCCATGATGGCACGCAGCACCCCAGGGTCTCGGCGCAGCACCCCAGGGTCTCACCGCAGCACCCCAGGGTCTCGGCGCAGCACCCCAGGGTCTCGCCGCAGCACCCCAGGGTCTCACACAGCTCCCGCTGTCTATGATGAAGCACTTTTGCTTCGTCTTTGAAAGCCGCTGAGCTGAGCCTGGCCACCCAGAACTCACGTGGCCACAGGCCCAAGCGCTCTTCGGCTGGGCTGGGGAGCTCAACTCCAGTTATGGCTGCTGCCATAACCAGGACCGGTCCTAAGGTCGTAGGATGGCTACTTAAGCTTCCTAAAATTATGTGTTCTTATTTATAAAATGGAAAAAAGAAGCTCACATCATAGAGGAACAGGAAGGTTCAGAGGCAACAATGTGTGCCTAAATCCCAGAACAAATTCTGGCAGATGGCAATGGCAGTGGCTAAGAAGACGGCCCACAGAGCGCAAGAAGACGGCTCAGAGAACAGGAATAGCCACGAAATTACACTGCTACTGCGTGGTTGCACAAGCAGTGGAAGCCACTTGCCTCCCTGCACGCTGCACTCCTCGTCAATACAATGAAGAGTGCCTACTTACGCACCGCTTCAAGAACCAACGACTCCATAACACAGAGGCCTGTGATAGGGTTCGTCGCGGCATAACGCTAAGGGCTCGACACCACACAGCAGAAGTGGCTCCTGCTCCTGCCGTGCACCCGCATCTGGGCTCGCTGCGGCTGTCACGTGCTCCCTCCTAAGCGCTGAAGGCGTAAGGCGGGGGACGCTCCGCTGCTCTGAGCACCACAACCTGCTGAACTTGGTCTTTGTGTGTAAGTCTTCTCGCCTATGCATTTCCACAGGAGGAGAAAGCCACCTTCCACGTGGATGAATACGCCCAAGGGAACAGTTACAACCAGGTTTTGGAGAAGAAACGAAACGACTCCCTCTCAATGTAAGAGTAATAAGAAATGGAGAAAGACTGCGGCCGAGGGGAACTGAAGGAGGAAGCTGCGGTGACCTGAGCCGGCCCTCGAAGGGGAGCTACGATTCCTGGTCTCAGAAAAGGACAGAATTCCATTAACACAACTCCTACAATTTGTATTTACACAAATTCTTCAGAATTTTGTTAACAGAATTAAAGAAGCTTCATCCAAGCAAGAAAGGATGTCATACATTCAAATCCTAAATCATTCTAAAAGGTGTACTGACTGAGCCAAACCTACCATTAGAATAAGGGAAAAGCTAAGTGCAGACAAGGAGAATGACGAGGGTGTGGACAGACAAGCGTTCCCAGGACTGTCTGACCAGTGTTCATGGGCAGTGGCCTCCATGACAGCCACAGCAGTGCCGGTGGCTGCAGCCTCGGAGTGACCCAGGGCCAGGCTGCAGCACAGCACACTCCAAGGCAGCCGCCGACGGGAGCACATTCCCGCTCAGTCAGTTGGTGCCTGCTGAGCCCTCCACGGGCCACCAAGAGAGCAGACAGTGCCACTCAGTCTCCATGGAGTGGGCCCTGAGGAGGGCTGCAGAAGGAACCATTTCACAGACTGCTAAGCCCTGCTGTGAGGGAGATCAGCCCAAGACATCCTGTAGTTCAGGCGACCAGACCAGGGCCAAGAGAGGGTTGAGCCTGGGGGTCAGAAGATACCAAAACGTCCCAAGAGGTGACAGCAGGGGTGGGCAAGGACCCTGAGGCAGGAGCAGCTGGAGGCTAGAGGGGCAGGGCAGAGTTGTCGTGTCTACACAGCAGCTGTGGCGAGGGGCAGGGAGACCCAGGGAGAGTGGCAGCAGGTCCGCAGGCTCAGTGCTCACTGGCTGCAAGGAGGAGCTGGTGGTGTTCACTGCACGACCCTCGGGCGTTTAGCAAGTTAATCAGAGACAAGAAATGATCTGATTCAATTTGGCTGTAGAGAGAAATGTGCTCACGTCTGCACACCACGTGAAGGGAACATCACAGGGGGAGGGGCTGCAGGAGAAAGGCGAGTGGCTGGCAAGAGAGACAATGAGGGGACATCAAGACTTGCAGCCTGCTGCTGCTCCTCCCTGAATCACCCCGTACAGAGCAACTCAAAACTAATGGTGTGAAAAGGCTCTGGAGCTGGTGGCTGGAGACCTGCTCTGCTCAACACGGGCTCTGACTGCGAGGCCGGGAGGTCCCCACAGGGCTGCTGCTGCAGCACCGGGTGAGTGACTCGGCCACACTCGGCGCTAGGCCGCGCTCACTCGCAGCCGCAGCCGGCACTGAGTAGGTGGAAGCCTGTAAGGACTGTTAGTATCAAAATTACTCTCATTAGAGGAAAGTTATTCATGAATTTTTTTTTTTTTTTTTTTTTTTTGCAAAACCAGAGATTGACTCAGGCCCTTGTGCTTGCCAGGGAAGTGCTTATTCTACTGAGCCATCTCCCTGGCCCTTCAATCATTACTTTAAAGCTCTTTTTTATTTTCAAACTGTAAGACTTTGATAACACATATGTCTTCTCTTTGGGAAAAAATGC